TTGGAGCTTGCTATTTCCAATGCCCCCTCGACTCGCCCGGCAGTAGGTCCAACTCCATCACTGCATTTTCCCAAATACAATCGTTAGACGCCCCGAAAGAAGCAACATGGACCCTAGGGTAACTTTAAAACTTCAATAAACTTCCCATCGAGTTTTCCTGAATGTCCCTTGCTCCCTTGGGCTGCTTTTCCACATATGCAAAGACGCAACAATTAGAACGCTCGGCTCGTACCAGATTCAAAACCTGGCGAGCGTCCTAATTTACCATTTGCTCGACCTTCTCCGGCAACATCCCAGCGTGCTTGGTCGGGTTGTACCACTGACGGATCAAGTTATAGAACACTTCCATCGGACACTTTCCCACCTCGTGGGTTTCTCCATAGCCTTGACACACGAACAGGCAACCTTCTGATGGATGGCCCTTCTTTCCACAGCGATCGCAGGTCAGCCTCTTCCTACAACCCATGTCTCAATGCTTCCTGGACCCACAATGGGCGCATCTTGCACTTGAGGCTGCCGACACCGTGCGAGGTCCCTGGTCCTTAGTCGAGAGTCGAGGCTGGTCGGCATCTCTGATGGGTTGGTCCCTCGGGGTTCTTGGCCCTAGGTCCTTCTCCGTCTCCGTGGCCATGAGGTAGACCTTCCGTAGGTCACCGTCACTATCAGAAGGAGTCTTCGGAGCTTGATCCCTCCTGGGTCGCTCGAGCTGCATGGATAGAGCGGCGATTCAACTCCCTTGGCCGATCAGGTGTAATCGGTGCTTTCTGGCAAAACTTGATCGACCCAAACAACATCTTGCCTCGTTCCGTTGACACGCCCTCAGCACATCCTCCATCACATCAGCCAAACGTAAGACGGTCAACTGGTCCGCAAGGTCGAAGTCGTCCAAGGTCTCGATGTAGTGTTCGACATATTCCTTTTGAATCTTGGGCAGCCCATCCTTGATCTTAATCTTCGCTCGAAGTTCAATGACATTCAGGCGGTATAGGTAGTCCAGCGGGGACTCATCCGACCTTATCTTCGCGTAGTAATATTGGCGGGCCACTGGTACCCCCAAAACACAGAACTGCATCTGGAATTCCTGTAACAAATCCTTTCAATTTACACGAACAGAGCATCCTAGTTGACGATACCTGTTCTGGCCAGGTCCATTCAATAATCCCCCAAAAACGAGACACTTTTCCCCATCTGGCGCTTGGTCCCTCGTGAACGCGGTCTTCACAGTGGTCAACCAGCTGCTTGCTCGGTCCTCATCTTGGTCTTTGCCATGAACTCCTTGAGATCCGAGGTCGCTGAGAGCTTGATACGATGGGCCATGTAGGGCACCTGTCCCAGGGTGGCATTGGCCATTCTCGCCAGAGGTCCATCGAGGTCCATGTCGTCTGGATCGTACTCACACGAACCAACCGATTCCATCTCCTCGTCGGTCATCCCCTGGTCTCTTGCAACTTGCATACCTGAACTTGAGCCCATCTGAGCCGTTGACCTCCGCGCCCTCTGTCGTCCTCTGGCCGCACTTCCATCGATGTGTGTTTGCGGTTATTTGGCGCTATTGTAAGAATTTCGGAATCGCCACGTCGAAGTATGCCTGTAAATTACCTACCGGGACGGTAGGCACTCCTCCCCGGGCAACTTTGTCACGTGACGAGGTGCAATTCGGGTACTTGTCTTGGCTCGTTTCTTATTGGTTGAAAATTCGATCTATCAGAAGCCCGACTTTCCCTTGGCTATACACAAGTGGCCATTTCGTGAGCTCGCTTCTCGTCGTCCGCGCTCTCTGTTCGGGCCTGCAGAAGCGACACGCCAGTCGGTCCTAGTGGCATTCGGCCCACGTGACTAGCGACGGAAGACCCTCGCGATTATTGCCTTGCAAAGACCTGAGGACCCTGAGGCAAGGTGGTCGGTGATAGGCCTCGCATATACCTTGAATCCTTGGTCGACCATTGCTCTCGAGGGTGGACCTCGATGTCTTGAAGGGTCATCTGGCTGTCGTCAGACGGTGCTTTTGCAGCGGTAGCAGGAGGTGAGTCAAGTAGTACTGGGGTTGTTCCCACCAAGATACCCAGACGTTTGTGTAGGATTTCTAACGTGGTCTTAATGCCGTTGAACCCCAGGGAAAACAAGTCATCAGGCTTGAACCTTCCTGTGACCATACCCACCTCACGAAGAAGGGTCATGGACGCGGTGATCGCGTCTACCACCGTCCCCAGCTTGGAAAGGATCGACATAGGCCCACTAAGCTGACTCATCAGTCAGATCTCGAGGGCTTCGGTGCCGAGTTCGCTCTCTAAGCACGCGTCAAGCTTGAGCCGATGGTAGGCCATGGTCACGTCCGCATCCTATCAGGTCAAGGGGCCTAAGGTCGAGGGGCCTACCGACTTGGTGTCACCTAATGCCTTCATCCGGAGCTTGGTCGATTTGGACATGGCGATCGTATTTCTTGCATTTTTATGTTTTTTGGGGACAATAGTCAATCAATTTTACCTTCGGCTGATGGTTCTCTGGGGCATGATAGATATCATGACCCATGGTGTCCTCGACGAGGACATAGGGAGGGTATTTCGGTTCCTCGTCAATAAGTTGAACCTTGACCACATTGACCGGACCCCTTTTAAGTTCCTGTCGGTCTTTCGATCCTTTTTTGTTTTTCATGTGTAGTCACTGGCGATCGTTCATCCAGTAACTCTTCGGTCTTTGTTCAATATTTGCTTAAACATCTTCATCTTCTTGGGACTCGCGGTGATATCCCGCGTCTTCCGAACATCCGGGAACGCGCACCATTGCGATGGGAGTGGGTTTTCAAGATTGCGCAATGAGACCTCAAGCCACTCACTGTGTCGGAATACCGACTGTCGGAGGGGGTACCCCGATGTCGCGTATAGAACTTCTCTTACCATTTGTACCCGTCGTCTGGCGGGTTGCACTCGTCTGAGGACCTGGTTGAGATGCGATGTCGGCCTTGAGAGAGGTCGACCTTGGGGTGCCTCGAGTAGGTATACTTCATTCGGTAGGCGGGTAGGTGGCCACTAGGTCAACTAGGTCGAGGGTGGACTTATAACCAAATTATTCAGGGGGGATTCTCAGCCCTGGCCTTTTCCTTGATATCTCAGGGGTGTTAACCGCCTGGCCTTTACTTGCTCCCGAACCACTACGGTAGGGAGACCGCTTCCGATAGCGGGTTATTGGGGGGGTGCTACATAGATGAACCCACAGGCCAAATGTATCCTGGGGCTCTATTCACACGGGCCTTACCACACGACTGCTCTTCGACAGGGGGCCAAAGTATATCACTTCCAGCAACAGGTGGGTAGACTTGTAAGTACCTTGGATCACGACGGAGGCGTGCTATGTGGATCGCAAATGGAGTAGTATTCAATAAAGTTCTATCTTTTAACTTCTTTACTCTATCCTTACCCCTGAGACCTGATTCTTGATTCTGCTTGACTAGGGTATTATCGACCGAGAGGCCGAGAGGCCGGAGATCGAGGGACCAAGGTCTATCGACTAAGGACCGAGAGGTCCATTGATGAAGGACCAAAGTCGACCTGCAGGGACCAGAGCCGAGAGTCCATCGACCGAAGGGCCTAGGTCTATCGTTGTGAAAGACCGAGGTCTACCAATGATAGACCAGGGTCGACCTTGAAGGACCGGTGTTCACCTTGAGGACCGCGATCAAAACTTATGAATTGCGGCTAATTGGCACGTTTTGACCGTACATTCTTGTTATCCAACAGTCGTTCCCTTTAGCGCCCCTTCTCTCTGTCCCTTACCCAACGGTCGCTCCTCCTTGGCTAGTCCCTTTCTCTTTAACCTACCGGTCCTCTGACCTACCAGTTCTAAATTGCTTACCACATTTACACCAAAAGGAAAAGGCTTGTAAAGCTAGCTTTGGAAGGGTTGAGAACCCTAAGACGTAAAAGCTTTTTTGAGCATGTCTTTTTCTGCACTTGGTGCATTAATAACTTTTCTACATAAGCTCTGCTACGGTTTATGGCTCTTTGGGGCTCGGCCCCGCTATATTCTACCTTTTAGAGGTTCAACAAAGTTCAGTTCTTCCCCAGTAGGGCGCCCGCGCCTACTGGGTTCCGCCGTTTCCCCGCAGCAAACCAGAGGGTTAACCCATCGGGCGTTGGCCTTTCGATGCCAAATATGCCTTTATTGCAGGGCAGTTTGCTATTAAATGGCCTGTGCTCTTGCAGATGCAATATCTGCGCGCAATTTGCTGCTTCACAATAAAATATAGCTTTCTATTCTCTCGCTTGACTACAGTCAACCAAAACAGATTCATCAGACTAATAATTATAAGTGGCAGGCCGAAATGCTTTCTGAAAAGCATAAGGTCTATATAATACTTTGACATTTGTAAAGACAAAACAACGTGTTGAGTGTTACGTAAGCTTAGACAATATATTGGCAAAACTTTCAAGGCAATCTGCTTGAAGAAGCTTGCAAGCATTCTACTATTTTCATACACTTTAAAGTTCAACGCTTGCAATATTAAAAGTTGTATAATCAATAAGCTGAGTAGTCCACCTGGGGCAATAATAATTTATTACGTGTGGCTCTACGACAAATGCGTTAATCGCTTGTATAAATGGCTGAAATTGATGCGAAATCTTAATTCTAATATAAAAGTTATTTAAACGGTATTACATCTATGTTTAACTAAATCCTATCATTCGTCATTTATAATTGCAAAACGTTATGGAGCAATATCTGAGCCGCAACTTGACATCCACGGGCAGACCCAGCGACAGCAAGAGCAGCGCGTTAAAGCTCCCACATAATGTGGAAATAATGTTAGCCAAGGTAATTTATCTGCTTGTTCTGCTTTGCTTCTAAATAATCTCATTGATACTTTGTTGTCTCGATAAGGTTTTGCCCTCGGTGATATGCTGGATCGACCAGCGTTCGATGCGCGTAAATTCATTAACCGCAACTATCCGGACGAAAAAAGCTTAAGTGATATAAATGACTTCGTCAGTCGACTTCGTGGGCGTATGAAAGAGCTGGATGACTCGCTTTCACAGGCATCGCAGGACCAGAGTCTGGCAGCCCACCAGGCGCTTGTGGATTTAAAAAAAACCAAAATGGCAACCAAACAGCTCTTTCAGAACATTTATGACATTCAAAAAAAGGCGACGCAGTCAGAGGTTATGGTAAAGACAATATGTCGCGACATCAAACAGCTCGATTACGCCAAGCGTAATCTGCAAACTACGCTTACAGCGCTAAAGCGATTACATATGCTGGTTAACGCAGTGGACCAGCTCGAGTTTATGTCCTCGCAGCGCAACTACCTCGAGACTGCTTCCCTTCTTGAAGCAGTTAACCAATTGTTTACACACTTTGATGGCTATACTAATGTCAGCAAGATTGTTGAACTTCATAAAACAGTGCGCACGCTGCAGGAAAAGCTCATAGGACAGGTCTTTGCTGACTTTTTATCGATTGGACCGTTGGAGTTGTTGGAAAAAAACTTTACAACAGAAGAAGAGCAGAGGGCTGTATATGCTAACCTTTCGGCGGCATGTGCCATTGTGGATGCATTAGGCAAAGCAACCCACAAAAAACTTATCCATTTGTTTTGTGATGTGCAGTTGATGTCGTATGAGAGACAATACGGCGAGGGTGGCGAGTGCGCTGGCTTGCAGCAAGCAAAGGCACGATATACGTGGTTTAACAATTTTTTGCTGGTATAGACCATCGCTTGAACGCTGTATTTCCGAAGCATTGGCAAATGGCCAGACGAATCTGTATCCAATTTTGCGAGCGTACGCGCGCACATTTTGCTCGTTCAAATTGGGGTGCATACTCCGGACAAAATGGACGTGACATTATTGCTTAAGCTGCTTCAGCGTACGATCATGTTTGAGTGCGACACAGCCCAGAGGTTTGAATGTGATAAAGAAGATGATGAACAAGAGGAAACAGAGCTGGGTGAAAACGGCGAGATTATTGATTTATAACCACTGAAGGTATTAAAAGAAAATATTGGCGGAAAAGACGTGAAGCTAAAATTAAGGCCCAAAAAGAAGAGAATGAGGGAAATGGCGCGTTCTCAGGCGACAAAAGCGAACGTCTCCCACCAATTCGAGGAATTGTCTCTCGTTTATTTGATCCATCCATGACAGCTTATGTTGCGCTGGAGCGCAAGAATATGGAACAGATGATCAACGAAGTAATGAGCACAGACCTTATGGAACGAAATGGCCAGCTGCCCGTATTTTCGAGCTCGATGAACATGTTTGCCTACATCCGCAATTCAATCAAGCGGTGTACGGCATTAACGAACGGACAGACCTTATTTGATCTCCAAAACGAATTCAGATATTGCTTCAGCTCTATGCGCAACGTCTTTTTGAAAAAATTCCATGCACATCAACTGGACGTCTAGATTCCTTGAGCAGTAGTGCAAGTACCAAGGTAAGGCTTTGCGACAAACAGGAAGAAGAGCTTTGTTTTGTGATTAATACAGCAGAGTACTGCGCTGAGACCTTTTCGTCTTTAGAAGAAGTAATTCGTGCCACGATAGATGAGACATTCAGCGAAGCTATAATGCTTTCCCAAAAATTAATACATTTCACGATGTGGGTGCTGCCGCAATGAAGTGCATCGTGACTAGATTGGAAACGCTGTTGGACGATGAACTAGTGACACTTTACAAAGCAAATTGGCGAGCATGGGATACTGTGGGTGACGAAAGCATGTACTTGATGCAAATGGGTGAAAAGCTGCGGGCGTTTGTGCCGGTGCTGCGCCAAATGCTGTCTAAATTGTATTTTACGAACTTTTGCGACAAATTTGCTACCTCGTTTGTGCCTAAGATCCTGCAGGCCGTAATGAAGTGCCGAAAGGCAAATCAGGTAGCAACTCAGCAGCTGCTACTTGATGTGTACGCGCTCAAAACACTCTTCTTGCAATTGCCAGTGCTCGACAAGAGTGTGTTTCCGTCCAAGTCGACGAGCACAGCAACAGTACCGTCGCGCTACACGAAATTTGTCACTAACGAGATCGCGAAGGTGGAAAACGTACTGAAGCTTATTGGCACTCCAAACGAAATGCTGGTCGAAAGTTTTAAGATCATGTGGCCGGACGGTAGTGCTGAAGATTTTTAAAGCATCATGAGTATGAAAGGGCTCAAGAAGAGTGAGCAGATTGAATATTTGGAGACACTAGGCATGCAATGCAAACCTACGGGAAAGATTGCTGAAATGGAAGGCAAGATGAGCGACATGACGGAGAACTGGAGGAAAAACATGCAGAACCTGGCCAAAGTGCCGTTTGCATTTACGACAGGCATGAATGCAAATGCTCAGCACCAGAGCTAGCAATTAAATGGGGGTACGCATGGCGGTATAAAGAGCTCTTTTAAAACTAAAAGGAAATGTCGTGTGGGCTGTATGTTGGTATCAATTTTTTTGTGTAAATTGGTTCTTTGTTAATTAATGCCTACGTCATTTTTTATGAGTCAGCGAATATGGCTGAGGGTGTGAGTGCTGCTCATTAGACGTGTGCATTTTTACTACCGAGTTACATAAGTCAATAGTATCAACGCAAAAACCTGGTAAAATAAAGTCACGCCAATATTTTACTTGATCATTTACGCCACGCAAGTTCGAGACTTAAAACAAACCACTGCGGGTGCTGCTTTTGTTCAGCAAAATCTTTTCCTGCTCATCGGTGAGTCGTGCCACGAGATACCTTAGACTTGCGGGCTTCTCTGTGTTTCGATTCTCACTGCCGTTGCTGTATCATGTTCGTCACAATGCCGTGCTCACCTATGATGAACAGGCAGCGACTGCACTGACGACGCGTTATTCGTCGCTGAATAGACCGTACGCCGCAACAGTGCGCTGCAATTCCTACAAGAGCTGACAAGACCTTGCGCGGTAGCAGCTAGTACCAGTGAATGCCTCTACACATGCGCAGCAACGCACAGTGCAGCAGTGTCAAGTTTGTCGACGCTATCCTGTTTTCATTGCGGAAGGCGAGAAATTTCATTAGATTTATACTATTTTACTTATGCTTTCTAAATAAACAAGTTTCCATGATCGGAAGCAGTGCCAATGCTGTTGCTAACGGAGCTGCCTGTGGATGCTTGCCCTCCCGTTTTGGACATTACCAAGGGAACACCAAAATAATTCGCAATATCTTGCGCTATTATGGTGCCCAATGGCTTCCAAGCTGGCGTTGAAAGATGCTGAGGCCGTTGTTGCGGTCGAGTGTGCAGAAGAGCAAGACAAATCAGTCACGTCGAGAGTGCCTCGCGCACGCACACCCTGGCACACTCTCGTCGGCAGTGAGACACGACGCCGTAGAATGCAAGCAGTGTGCGTCCACCAGCTCCACCTTCATCTTCTGCTTGGCATGCAAGATACCCTCGAGCGCAAAGTCGACCATCGTCTGACGAAAGTCTGGCTTCTCCCAGTTCAAGGTGGCCAAGCACGCTGATAGAGTACTTGCGGCCATGTCAGGAACTACAGACGCAAGAGCACTGTACCGCTTTTCAATTCTCTCTCTTATTATCACGAATACACACAACTCGCCAAGTCTCATTCACAGAGCTGCCAAGGTAGTGGCCATATTAGTATGCGACGCGATGAGCCACAGGAAGGATTCATCGTCGCAAGGATTGAAAGCTTTTTTGATCGGGATGCGACATTATATCATCACCGTACCATTAACATAATGAAACAGCCAAAAACTTTGTTATTCACACGGTTGTTAGGTTCGATTAGCCACCGTTATTGATATCATTCATTCGGTGGTCTCGTACCATATATATATATATACTTTGTGTTTGCTTGTAGCCATCCCCATTGTCATAACAGTCTACACTGTATGCGTCAGGTATCAGGTGTCTGTCTATCTATAGCTAGAAGACCGACAGCAGATACCCATACATACGCAGACAACAGAATTCCCGGAATAGGGGGAAAATACATCGGCCATGTCGATTTCAGGTGTGTAAGACACCACATCCGTGTGTGACAACAGGCAGCTGAGTTGCGGTAAAGATTGGACACTGGGGGTATCGATCCCCCTACCTCCCGCATGCGAAGCGGGCGGTCTACCATTTGAGCTAAGCGCCCGTGCATTGCATGAAGAGCGTATAATAAACGAACACGAGTACAAAATGGGAGAATTGGTTTTATTAAACGCTAGGAATTTACTTACTTGTGCCATTTCTGCGGTAAATAAAACTAAACTACGTCCACGTTTTATTGGACCAAAGCAAGAAAGGCTTCCCTCTACGCTGAACCTTCCGAAGAAGATGCGAACACACCCTGTGTTCTATGTGGGCTTGTCAAAGCCCATATCTCAACCCAGCCTCGGTGGACCTCTAGGGGTTGTTCCCATACCTCCGACAAAAGGAGGCGGATAGTACTGCACCGGAGGTGTATATGGACGCTGGACGCGAACCAGGAGGCCGATCTGACATCGCAGCTCTGCTTGAGAACGCTCAATCGCCGTTAAGCGATCTGAGGTCTCAGAGCGATAACGCTCAAAAGACCGACGGTGTCGATCGACACGGTCATCGAGCGATGACAGGGTGAGACCTCACCGATGCAAGGGCATCACGCTCCAGGAGTGTCAGGCGACGCTCAATCTCATAAAGATGAGAGGTCAATAGGTCATCGACCTCCTTCGACGCTGATTAGTGATCTGGGTCATCAACAGTTCCACGTGTAACGTCTCTTGGCTCGACGTCGTCACCAGGGTCATACCCAATACTTGGTGAAGTGGAGGGGTTACCACCAGTCGTACGACTCGTGAGAGTATGAGGTACCCCTTCAGCAGGATTCCCTGACTCCGTTGACGCTTTTGACCATGACGGTCTGAAGACGACAGCTGTCGTCGGACGCTTTCTAGCACTAGGTGATGTGTAAGCATGGTCAGTAGGCTGGCTTTGCCTCTGACCTTCAGAAGCCGACGCCGGTACATCACTCGCGTGAAAGGTACGGGCACCAGCTTCGGAAGCTTGCTCCCCACAAGTCTTTGACCTGTATGTGCAGGGTAATTGGCGCTTCGCTTTGAGTTTAGCAAAGTTAAAACGTAGACGACGTTCTAGCTAAATGTTTTGTACTTCAGCGCTTAAGCGCAAGTTAGACAAACTTAAGAGCTTACACGCTCGTTCTACCCAACGGGTGAATTGGTGATCATCTTGCGCGGATGCTTCACCTGGTGCAAGCCCCACCGGTTTGTCGTTCAGCGGGTGCGCAGGCACCCACGTGACTGTCGTGACAGTCGCTCCTGATACGATTTAATCGTAAGCTTTTGGGGAATAAGGGGCCGCTTACGAAGCGCGGCAAGATCCTTAACCTTGCAAGCAGTACGGGCCTGGGACCCAATGACTTAAGTACGAAAAGATTGCGATGCAGCTCGTCGAGCTTCCTCATTGGGGTCCCGAGGCATGAAACCATGAACACGACTTGGAAAGGTTTGGTTGGGCCGTGCCAAGGCGGCCGTCTGGGCCTTGTCATCAAGTTGAGGACGCTGTACAGCGTCAAGAGGGCTGGTTACCACTTCGTCGGCACTCTCTCGCGAGGGAAGTGGTGGTGATTGGCGCAATGAGGTTGGTTGCCTTGGTGGAGAAGACAATGAACGGGATCGACGTCCTTCTTTCGGTAAGCGTGATGACCGTGGGACACTATGACCCAACGGAGACTCGGTGCCTGTCCCTAGAAGCAACGTCTCTTTCATCGTCCCCAAAGACGTCTCGACGCACTGCAGCAACCATGATTCACCAAGCGTAATATGGACAAGTGCTATAAAAAATCAAGTGTTGGAAACACTTTAATGCTTCAAAGTACGTGCTAGGCACTTAATGCTGTAAAAACAAGTATTTGTAAACACAAAAGGGTATTGTTACCAAGTGCTTGGCACATAACGCTAATAGGCAAGTGTCGTAACACTATAATGCTTTAGCTTGAGTACAATGCACTGTATGCTCAAGGAGCAAGTGTCGGAACACTAACGCAAGTGCAAGCACCTATTGCGAGGCAAGCAAAATGGAAAGAAAATAAAATTGATGACTCCCATTAAGTTAGAAAAAATAGTGGGTACGTCGGGTCCCACGGATTGGTGGGTGAGGGCGTAACGGGGTTACACGAAGGTGTGTGTTTTACATCCACACATGTCACACCAATGTGGTGTAGCTGTATCTTAAGTACAAAAGTAGATGATGTGACCGTACCTAAGGTACGAAGGGTCGCATCGTGGCAGAGAGTCACGTGGTCACTATACTTATATAAATAAAGTGGCAATACATGTTTGCATAATAATAGGCTACAAAGCCAGTAAATAGTGACCAGCACTAAGTATAGGGTAGGTGCTTCTATATTTAGTGTTAGAAGAAAAACATCTTTATATAAATCAGTTCCAAACCTGCTCTGAATAGCACAAGTGCTTGAACGTTCTATTTCTCATAGAAAATGTGTCTTTGATACTGGTCTCTTAGAGATACGGTTGTTCACAACCAAAAGGCATAAGCTTGTGAGCTATCCAATGGAGGGCACCCTAAGACGTAAAGGCTCTTGGAGCTTGTCTTCCGCTGCACATAGTTCAAAAGTAATTTTGCAACAGTAGTTTGACTGCTTCTTCTGCACATAGTGCATCTTCATATAGTGCATAAGTAGCGTGGCTACAATAGCTCAGTTACACTTCTCTAGTGTTTTGTTTTACAGATAAACTTGTGTGACTAACGTATATTTTTGTTGTATCAAAATGATGCTGTTATAGCAACGACGGTAGCTTTTCATCAGACAAGATCACAACTTTGTCGATTGAAATGGCAGAGCTGGAACCCAAAGTGACGGTAGTACGTGAATTGCAAAATCAGCAAAATGCGGCGAAAGAGCTGGATGAAATGATTGCTGAGCAGGCGGAAAGTGATGACCCGGACGCCACGGAGCTGCGTCGTATGGCGGAGGATGAGCGTCGAGAGTTGTTGATAGGTATCAACCGACTAGAGAATGAGGTCGTCCGGATCATGCTGCCACGTGACGAAGTAGACGAAAATAGCTCGATTGTGGAAATACGGGCTAATACAGGGGGCGATGAGGCCTGTCTGTTTGCTGCGGACATTCTAAGATGTATCAGAAGGTAGCGCTGGCCAGAGGCTGAAAGTTTGAGATTATGAGTTTATCCGAGACGAACCTCGTGTGGCTATACAGAATCACCAACACCAGTTACCACTGGTGTCGCCCGTGACGTGCCCTGGAGTGAACACGTTGCCGAGCTTTCTCTCATTGTTCCTGGGGCCTCCGATTGACTTGATATAAGACTCATCCCAGGTGCTACGACATCAGGTTTCATTCTCCGTATGACTTTATCTGTATCTCGATCAGTTTGATCAAGATGATCGTGATGTGTTCTCTCGTATGGTGATGTCGGCTCGAAAAGTGGTCATGTACAATGCGTGGGCAAATAAAGCAGATGAAGCGGGGACAATTACTTGTGGTCATGGTACCCACGTCGCAGGCCTTTTGGCTGGTAGTTCATTTAGCGGTAAAAATGCTGATTTGGGGATCGCGAACAAGGCACGTATAGCATTTATGGACATTGGGATGCAGAGTGAGACGTGTGCGGGTGAGTTAAACTGCGCTGTATCGTTGGCCACACCTGCCGATGCCAGTGATCTGCTGGTAAGTCAAATTGATGCAGGCGCTAAGATTTTCTCGTTTTCATGGAGTACGGCTGGATCGGATTATAGTTTGCAAGCCAGAGACTTGGACGCCTTTATTTACAAAAATTTGGATGTTCTTGTGGTTGCGGCGGCAGGCAATAGTGGCGAGTCTTCCATCACTGGTCAGCGCACCATATCGTCACCATCTGGCGCTAAAAATGTAATATCAGTCGGGGCATCACTCAACTCAGCGGCATCTTTCATGGACTACGCATGCCCCGATATTATGAACGAGCACACGGTAGCATCATTTTCATCTGCCGGGCCTACAACAGACGGGAGAAGGAAACCTGATGTCGTAGCACCTGGGATGAGTCTTATATCAAGTCAATCGGGGGCCCCAGGAACAATGAGAGAAAGCTCGGCAACGTGTTCACTCCAGGGCACGTCACAGGCGACACCAGTGGTAACTGGTGTTGCTGTGCTTCTGTATGAGTGGCTTTGCGATGGGTGGTGGAAGGACGGACGCAAAAATGCTGCATATGCTCTGAGTACGATTCCTGCTTCTTTGCTTAAGGCGTTACTTATTCACAGTGGAGAATCTTTGCATAAGCGGATGGGTGCGTTACCCACAAGCGGTTTTGTGTCATGTACAAGGTTAGCCTCGAATTCTATCGACGTGACGTTTCCAGACGTCTACCAAGGCTATGGCACACCAAACCTTACTAACATTGTGGATTTTACTAGCTTGAGCGTCAACAATAGTGGCAATGGCAGCCGCAATGGACCACCGTCATTGTATTTCTTGCCAAACTCGACAGAAAATAGCGAGCCAGCAGTCGCACACGGAGGTGAAATAGTGATTTCGTTTACGGTAGCTCGCGGTGTGGATTTGCGAGCGACTCTCGTGTGGACTGATCCGCCAGGGTCAGTTCAGGCGACGTCGCAATTGCAGCACGATCTGGACTTGGTTGTTCGCGTGCGCAATGGCACTGAAATGTTTGGTCCACTGACAGCTGACCCAAACACTGGAAGGGATTCGCTGAATAACGTTGAGATGGTGCAGGTTTCTTACGCCGATCTTCTCGCTGCTGCCACTGACAGCAACACAAGTAGCAGTGGCAGTGAAAATGGAACAAATAGCTTAGCACTTGGAAACAATGGAGAGATAGTGGTTGAAGCTGTTGTTTACGGCCGAAGTGTGCTGCTGGCGGACTATCAGAAGTTTGCGTTCGTAGCGTCTTCCAGCGTCATTGGATCCACGTCGGGAATAGCGGCTACAAATGATAGCAAGTCTTTCTGGTCTACTTGGGCGCTCGCTATTATCGTGGGCTGTGTGATTGTGCTGCTAATAGTTATTGCTTGGGCCACGCGCTGGTTATGTGGTCGGAACAAACGAGGAGCCAGCTCAAGGTATTTTCAAGAGCTATATCCCGCCCAGGTCAGAAATCCAGGCTCCGCGTTTTGCCCATCTGCCCAGGCAGCGACTGATATTACAGGAGGAAGCCGATGCCCATACTGTCCGTATACAACTTGCGATGCTGTAGCGTTGGTTGCTCATGTGCAAAGTGATCACGTTGTTAATGCGCCTGACCCGATTGCAGTGTTAGGTGGACGAAGGATGTTTGGCTTGGAACCGGCAATGGCAGTGGTGACATTGACATCCCGTTCGATTACTAATACGCCACCGAGAGGCGTGCATAACTTTGCAGAAGATGAGAGACAAAAATGTCCGCATTGTCGTTTTATCGCATCTAACGCTGTTATTCTAGTTAACCACGTGCAGCATATGCACACACAGTTATAAATTATAGTAATTTGCGCAGCACCAGAATAATTTGGTGCATACAGTCGAGTATCCGTTGAGAAGCTAATACTTATAGTAGTAACAACCAGAGTAGACAGAAATATAGTTTAATCTTTTGGTTTAATTAAAAGATAAATTACACAGTTACTGGATAGCTTGTAAATTATACTCGTACAGTACAATTGGCTTATCATTCAAAGCTTGCCTTCTTACACATTTTGAGCATCTGTTAAAAAAACCTTTGCCAAATTTACCACAAGCGGTAAGATGCTAAAAAAGAGTTAGCATTGAAATATAAAAGAAAACCTTGGCACTAGTGGTAGAGGGAATAATAGCGCGATGGAATTATGGTTTTGTATCTGAATGTTGATTCTAGTTGCGTACGAAACAATCAAACACTAAACTAGGGACTGAGGTGACGCAAGATGGTATTAGAATGCCCAGATTGAAAAAAAGGTTGTAATGTGATGAGACCATTGTTTGTACGGGCAGCAAATCATGAGACTTTGATCCATTAGCTTTCATAAGATCACGAGGGGGCGTGATTATATAGCTACAACGCAAAAGCATTTGCAACATAAACACCTGCTTTTTGAGCGCGGCTTGTTCCAATACAGACAATGCAATTCTCTGTTTTGTTTAGCTTGATGAAATTACTGGAATGTAAAGCCGAAATTCAAACCGGACTTACAACATCCCGGCCTCACTGCGATTGTCGTCTACTATATTACTCTGCAGCATCATTTGAATGTATTGTTAGTGGTGGTTGTTGGATTGTGTCCTTAGTGCATGCTGCAGATATACCGATACGTATTCTTCAGAGTTCTGCCCTTATCATAAGAATTGCCTTGAACATTATCAGAGTGTGAATGGAATTGCACTAGGTTGCCGTCGTTCTGTGCGCGTGTTGATGATCCAAGAGAAATGAGTGATATAGACATAATGCAAGAAAGAATGTTTGTACGGCAATTCTGTGTCCCTTTAAGGAAAGAACGTACATTATAATAAGCGGGGACTCATTAAATACAAGTATACGGGTTTCGTTCCGTCTACTTCCATTAGAGATGTTGCATCTTGCTACTGGGGCCCGATCACAATGCAGTCTGTGTCCCTGCTGTTTGGTTGAGGGAATCAGGATTTCAACGCAGGTTGTCTTGTAAGTCCTTACTTTACTTTCAGGGCCGCAAAAGATGGTAACTCCCGTAATCCTATCCTTTCGTAGATGCAAACGAGCTAATGGTTGGCCAAGAAAGTCTATTAGGTTCATCCTGAGCATTGCGTTCCCCTCAATCTTGATTATGGCGGCGATGAAGTCATCGCGCAATGTGCTTTCAAAAATCTCCGGTAAGCAGTTCTGAGATGCAGTGACGTGCCTATTGCCATCAATGGAGTCAGTCTTTATCTGCTTGTTACTTTATGACGCTATCAACCATGACCGCTACTGAGGTTGGGGCAAAGAGGCTTAGAAGTGACTTGCACAGGATTTTAAGATGTATGGATAAGCTTTGGGACATTGTGGTCAACACTTGCAAGATCCAGCAGCCAGTCTATTGAGCTTTGTGTCTAGGCCAGTAAAAGGGCTTCATGATAGCCACCTCCGTGTATCAGAAGGCTTTAACATCGGGCGCCAGTTAATACATATGCAGACTTCGTGTGGTGGAGGACGTTCTTGCTACTAACTGGTGTGACGATTACCTGAGAGAAGAGATGGCCGTTTTTATCCTTGACGATATTCCAAAAGCGCCTGGTTTTCCTGGTGTATCGAAAAGTTTCATATTTTGTTTAGCTACCTCTCGCTGCCCTGGTCAACGCCAAAGCTTACAATAGCAAAGACATCTGCGGCGGAACTAGTATAGCTAATAAGTAAGTGATAAATTAATAAATAAGTGATAAATGCCTTTAGAATGTTAGTTTAGACAAGTTTTGCTGGTGTCAGCTTTTCAGCCGCTTCTTTTTCAATATTTCAAGTACGACAATCACGAATCATACGGTCTTACATGGCCAAGTGGTAATCAATAAAAAGGTGAGCTGATGCCTTGAAAAGACATAAGTTCTTACAATAATTTAACTTCTGGTCTTGCCAAAATTTAAGCTAAATAGTGCTTTGCACGCTAATCTGTAGGATGGGAACCGTGCGGTAGCGCATTTATGCGGTACGGCTACAGCAGGTTTAGCGACGACGCAACAAAAACATGATTCTAGACGATCTTGTAGGTAAAACCAAAGACGAACATCTAGTTGCCATTCAGCAAATAGCACTAAACCTTCAAACGCTCAGGTAAACGTCGGGCATTGCAGCATTTGGTCGATAGGTATAAATTACACTTCATTCCAAAAAAAGATTTCGCCCATCTCGTGACTGCAAAGAAATGATTATTTCTAAGCTAATCGTGTCGTTTTTGGCTATCCCTACGCTGGTTGCTCATGCGATTGACAGCAGCATATGCACGCTCGGACACTCCGAAAAGTGCGCAATTGATTCACTCAAAACTAACAATGATGATGGTAGTGTTCTCGTTTACCCTGCGGGTAAGACACGTTGTGCGCGTTCGGATGACTACTCCGACAACACTACAGTATTCGTGACAAGGTCGACGTACTTCTTCCAAGTGTTCCCAAATCAGAATCAGGACAAGTCAAAGTTGCTGCTTTACTTTCAGGGAGGAGGTGGCTGCATTGGTAAGGACACATGTAACTTTGCCCTGCAGTGCCAACTTGGCGCCGCCAAGGCAACCCTTTCAATGACTGGAACATTGTGTTTCTGCCATACTGCACTGGGGATATCTTTGTTGGCGATACGTACTTGGAGCCTTTCGAAAGTAACTTTAGTCAGTTACTTGGAAACAAACAGTGTCTAGGCCAAAAACGGGGCATTTATCTAAATGGTTATAACAACGCGAAGGCTGTGCTGGATTGGGCTCTCGAAAATTTTCCTGACCCGAAGCATTTAGTTATAGGTGGATACAGTGCGGGATCGCTGGGTGCGCAACTTTGGTCGGCAAAGGCTGCTGCTATGTGGCAGGTCAAGGAGAAGTCGATCAAGTTTCAAGTATTGGCGGACAGCTACGTTGGTGTGTTTCCGGAACACCCGTCAGCGACAAGCTCAATTATTAACTTCTTCGGCGGGTGCAATGTAGACCTCCACTTTCATAAGTCGATGGTCGCGAAGTGCCAGGCAAAGACAGCAACTTTTACTGAGTTGGTTAACGCACTGATAAAGGAAGTCTTTAAGAGCGAGTGGTTGTTCATCAACAGCATTGCGGATCGCACGCAACGCTTATATTATGAGCTAGTGCGTTTGGGTATCGCAGGTTACCCATTTACAACGCTAGTAGATGCTGGCGAATTCTACGGCAACATGACGAATATTTTAGACTCGCATTCGCAACAGACAAATGTGGCGCGGTTCACTAGCAAGAAGCGTACACAGCACGTGACCGATCGTGTAGATCAGGTCACTGCAGGTTCGCATGCTTCCTGGTGTGAGCTGCTGCACTGGACACATGAAACAGAACTTTTTGTGCATTTGCTGATGCCACGTGGCAGAGGGAGTATGCAACTGGGTTAAGCAATCGACGCGAACAAAGTGAAGGAGACACAGGCGCTGGATAGATCACATGAAGAAAAGGCTATACGTGATGAAAAGTATCACCAGAAATATCTAAGATGGATATTTTATCAAAGTAAGTCCTTTTAAAGTACTAACGAGAAACCCTAGAAACGCTGAGGTATCCAGATGAGGGACGCTACTGGAGCACTATAGCCGCTGCAAGCCTTGCCTACAGAATATAGAAAGCATATTTAAGGCAACGTGGAAGACACTCAAGGCATACAAAAAACCTCGTAGGTATTAATAAGAAGTAGCAGCGTCTTCCGAGATGACGCGACCTGCGTTGACGGTTGTTAAAACAAAAAATGTAATGCGACGAGTTTTGCACATCTTGAGACATCCCAACTGAGCTGGATGTGTTGACGTCAATGCTGTCGATTATTTGATGCAGGATCAAAGATGTGCAATTGAAATTGAATTATACACATAAGCCTACCCAATGCGTATGTTGACAGCGTGCTCGATGACAAAATCTGTATATACAACACGAAAGCTAATCTCTATGAGACGTAGACAAAAAGTACACAATAACTTTGTAGCAGCCATCTTGAGCCACGTACTTACTCATTGTGATAATTCATTGGTAAGTACTGCCCTGAGTCATCGGCTCGTTCGTCTAACGCACCCAAAGGTCGATGCGCTACGCAGTCGGTGCATTTATTTCCTGCTGGCACTGAACCAGCTGGGATTGGAGCACGTGCAAAAAGGAGGCTCTATGCTAATGCAATATTTGGTAACTTTGTGGTTAACTGAACACCCAAGCTTGCTGATCATCAACTAATACAGCGACAAAACGAAAATGCAGCAGCCACTGCAACAGAAATACCAAAAAAAGAGCGAGAATAAGACTGGCCTGTGCAAGATCTGCTCACAAAGGGAAGCTAAGCAAAAAATGTTAAATTACACTTGAAGTTGTTGGAACAGGAACAGAAACGTGCTGAGGCGCTTTGTGCGTGTAAAGTTGAAAACTTTTTAGCAGCTTTATAGGGAGTCGGTTCTTGAACAGGTTGGCATCGAAAAAACGTTGGGGCGTCTGTTCGTTTCTACGACACCTTTAACATCAATGCCGGCAACTGATTCTAATCTGTCTAAGGCCTGATCAAAGCAGAAAATTGTAGTCCACGAATAAGGCGTCGAGTTTGGCACGGCAAAATGATGTGATACTGCTCATCGTGAAGGAGAGAAAGCAAAGAGGAAAGCAGTGCGATGTCAGAAATTTCAAGTGAAGGCAACGTGGATGAGGACCCTATTGAATCAATGCAATACACAGGCTTCGCAAGACAAGGTAAATTTTGAAACTTCCAGTACAAGCGACGCAACTAAAACGGCCGTGCTAGTAGCGATACTGTAACGGGGTTACACGAAGGTGTGTATTGTACATACACACCTGCCACACCATTGTGGTGTAGCTGTACCTTAGGTACAAAGGTAGGTGATGTGACCGTACTACCTGAAGTACGAAGGTTCGCATCGTGGCAGAGAGCCACGTGGTCACTATACTTATTTAAAGTATAGTGACAATACATATTTGCATAATAATAAAAGGCTAAAGAGCCAGTAATAGTGACTAGCACTAAGTATAGAGTAGGAGCTTCTGTATTTAGTGTTAGAAGATAAACATAAATATAAATCAGTTTCAAAACTGCTCTATAAGCATCACTGCTTGAGCATTCTATTCCTCCTGAGGAATTAAGTATCTTTGATACTAGTCTCATTGCGACACGGTTACAACAACCGATAGGCACAAGCTTACGAGCTAGCCTAGGAAGGGCTAAACACCCTAAGACGTCGAAGCTCTCTGAGCATGTCTTCCTCTACACATAGTGCATAATTATCTTGGCTACAGTAGCTCGGCTACAACTGGTAGCACTTGTAGTCAATCCCGCACCTGGGTTTGCGACTACTTCTCTGTCTGAGAATGGACATAGATGAGATGTCAGCGGTTGGCCTGTCACAAGCACAACAGGAAGGGTTACAGAAGCTGCTCCCTATCTTTGGCCCTAAGGGAGTAGAGTACCTTATCGCTAAAGGCGAAGAAGAGGTTAACAAGCGTATTCATATGCTTGATGAATACAATAAAGCTCTAGTTGAGCATGTAAAGGCACAGATGCCTTCTTCTGCGCCTTCGCCCATGGCGACTATGGTGCAAGAAGTGGTCCGCAGACCAAAACCCATACAAATGGAAGTCGATAAGTTCGACGGCAAAGAAGGTGACAACCTTATGCTTTGGTTCCGACAGGTCGAGCCGGCTATGTTTATAGTCGACATCACCTATGAACCGTACGAGATTTGCCACGGGAAAGTTAGGTGGCTTAGCCAAACAGTGGGCATTCACATGTGGTGCATCACTGCACGATGCTTTTCCCACATGGTCCGATCTGAAAGTTCAGATGACCCGGCAGTATGCACCGCCAAACCAAGCACATTGTAATCGGTCGCGGTTTTTGGCATGTCGCCAAGGCAAGCGTGAGCTTGCGGAATATGTACAAGAGTTGAAAACTCTCATTGCTGCCATGGTCATAGACCCTATGCCTGAAGCAGTGACCGTCACGGTCTTTATGGAGGGCCTCCGAGTTGGCGTTGCCAGAACGGAAGTCTTCCAGGTAAACCCGTCCTCATTCGAGGAAGCTGTTGGAGTGGCATGGAATGCCGAGACCAACTTTAAGGCTGCTAGGCCTGCCACTTATAACTACTCATCTGATGGGTCTGTCTGTACCCATGGACTGTAGCCAAGTGGAGGATGCAGAAGCTGAGCTTCAAGCTGCGGAGCAGCAAATTGTGCGCAGATGTTATATCTGCAAGAGCACAGGCCATTTGATGGCAAAATGTCCTGCCTGAAAGGCATATTTGGCCTCGAAGGGCCGACGCCCCATGTAAAAACCCTCTGGTTTGCCGCGGGGAAACGGCGGAGCCCAGTAGGCGCGGGGCGTCCTACTGGGGAAGAACTGAGTCTGTTGAACCTTGAAGAGGTAGAAGTAAACAGGGCCCAGCCCCAAAGAGATTCGAACTCTCAAAAATGGAACGAGAATGCAAGTCAGGCTTGCTACTAGTCGAAGGGACGATTAAGGGCTATGATAAGCCATGGATCATTTTGATCGATTCGGGGGCATCGGGCAATTATGTGCGCCGTGCCACCGTGGAAGGTAGTCAGAAGTATGCTGAAGCGCTTGTAGCGCGTGAAAGTGACACAGTCACACTTCGCTTAGCGACTGGTACGCGTGTTACGGTACCCAAGTCTCGATGGAGTTAGTTGTAAAGTTCTTGGACTTTAACAGCATGGAACGCTGTTGGATCTTAGACCTGGATGCGAGGTATGACCTCATCCTAGGCATAGCATGGCTAGAACGTCATAAGCCATGGATTGATTGGAGGTCAAAGACCTTAGACGCAACGCGCAATGCTTCTGGTGGGGCTCTGGAGAGTCATGAACCCACCTCTGCTAGGAAAGCAAAAGTGCTTTTGGCGCGGATATTGGACCGAGTCGGTCAATATGTTGGATGTCAAAATATCCGACTTTGTAGACACTGTAAGTGTCGAGGACAATAGTCCTGGGCGAGGCCCAAGGACTGTCGATAGTGGGGTTGAGAACCCACTAGATGGCACATATGACATGTGTCATGAGAATGATGTTACATCATTAAACACCGTGAGTGGTGTTGGTGGCTGCAAGCCAAGATGTCAGGACATGAGTCCAAGTGACATGAGTGACGAGGAACTGACCCTCGAGGGCCGGGTGAAATCATCAATGGATGTTGTCTTTGGGGGCAACGAGGTGCATGCACCTAACGACGAGGTACTGACCCTGGAGGGTCGAGTGAAGTCATCAATGGATGTTGTCTTTGAGGACAACGAGGTGCATGCACCTAATGACGAGGTACTGGCCCTGGAGGGTCGGGCGAAGTCAAAAATGGAAAAAAGTTGTGTTTGAGTACAACGAGATGCGAGCACCTCATGACGAGACATTGACCCAAGAGGGTCGGGTGCAGTCAGTAAACGAAGTGGTCTTTGACCTTGAGGTGTGTACACCTGTTGACGCTGAGGCGTCGGATGCTGAGAGCGTCATGAGTAGAGATGATGATATCGTGAGTGACGGTGATAGCGAACAGCTATATACACTCGTCAATGGTTTGACTGGGGATGTTGAAGATCTGGCGGCCCATTCAGCTGTACCCGCAGTAAGTGCTCTGTTAGAGCTGGACGAGTTGTCCTTTGCCGAGTTTGGCATTGCCTTACAGGCAGGCGACATCGCCGAAGTGGTCGTTATACGACCTGAGGAGGAGTTGAACTCCTCATCGCTTTTGGATAAAACAGTTCTTGAAGGCGTCAAGAAGGCGCTGAATGCGCGGAGGGGATCACAGATCCTGAAGGATCCTTCGGATCCTTATTTTCCTTTGTTGAAGGAATATGGAGATGTTGTCTCCAGAGAACCTCCTACAGTGTTACCTCCAGATAGAGGTGTACGTCATGAGATTGACTTGGTTTTAGGAACCAAATATTGTGTGACGCGACAGTGGCCGCTGCCACGAGAACAATGTGACCGTCATTGACGAGTTCTTTCATGCAAAGCACGCGGCTGGCATGGTGCGTGAGAGTCAGTCTCCTCACTCTACGCCCACGTTTTGTGTAAAGAAGCCTAATGGGAAGTGGCGAACAGTGCATGCTTACAATAAGCTGAATGCAGCCACTATCGCGGCTCAAACACCGATTCATCGCAAGGATGTTCTTCAAAACAATATGGAGGGATGTAAAATGTACAATGCCCTCGACTTAGTCGATGGATATTACCAACTGCTCATGTGAGCTGGGGGGGGGGGGGGGGGGGGGGGGGGGGGTGGGGGGGGGGGGTGTGTGTTTTTTTTTTTTTTTTTTTTTTTTTTTTTTTTTTTTTCCCCCCCCCCCCTTTTTTTTTTTTTTTTTTTTTTTTTTTTTTTCCCTCCTTTGCCCTCTTCCAATTTTTTTTTTTTTTTTTTTTTTTTTTTTTTTTTAAAAAAAAAAAAAAAAAAAGGGGGGGAGAGAAAAAAAAAAAAAGAGGGGGGGGGGGTTTTTTTGGGGGGGGGGGGGTTGTTTTTTTTTTTTTTAAAAAAAAATTTTTTTTTGGGGGGAAAAATTTTTTTTTTTTTTTTTTTTTTTAAAAAAAAAAAAAAAGGGGAAACCTTTTTGGGGTAAAAAAAAAAGTGGGTTGGCCGGTTTCGGGGAAAAAGAAACCCCTCCGCAAGTGGTTGGGCGTGATAAATTACTTGCACAAGTATTGCCACAACTATGCGAAAGTGGCCACACTATTTTTTGTCGGATCGTTTTAAAAGGATGTGGAATGGTGTTGGAACACCGAACACCACGAGGCTTTTGAAGCCATAAAGGAGAGTCTCCTTTAGGCGCCAATTCTGGCTTTGCCTGATCCTGATCGCCCGTTTAGCATAGTATGTGACGCTTCGGACTTTGCCATTGGCAGTGCACTTTTGCAAGTTGACTCTGAGGGTCGAGAACGCGTCATTGCGTTTGAGTCTCGCCAGATGAAAGCTGCAGAGAAGAACTATCCAGTTCATGACAAGGAGCTACTTGCGATGAAGTATGCCCTTGTTAAGTTCAGGGGTACACCTGTTGGGCTCAAAGCCGTTTGTGATCTATACCGATCATGCGTCGTTACGCACAGCGACACAGTCGCCTCATTTCTCGCAGAGAATGGCTCGTTGGCTCTCCTTTTTCGCGGAGTCTAACTTCGAGGTGAAGTATAAGCCGGGAAAACAGAATGTTTTGGATGACGCGTTATCGCGTAGACCTGACTATGAGCTTGTTCATCTCACTGTTGTGAGTTCGTCAGTCACGGATCGTATCCGTGTGACGTATGCACGCGATGAGGCATGTGTTGCCATTGTGCAGGCGCTAAGTAGCTCAGAGTTTGAAAACGCTAAGGTGAAGCTGTCACCACGTAATCGTGCGAGATTACATCGTTATGCACTGACCGATGGTCTGTTGTACTATAGTACAGGGTCGGATGACCAGCCTCGTGTTGTGGTGCCTCATGATGAGGACCTCAAGTATCAGATACTTTTATGAGGCTCATGATACACCACTTGGTGGTCATTTAGGTCGTGAGAAGACCTACAGCTCGGTGAGCACCCATTATTGGTGGCCCAAGTTGTATAAATGGGTTGGTACATATGTACGCACGTGTGAAACGTGTCAAAGGGTGAGGCCATCGCCTAGTATGGCTGCGCCTTTGGCGAGTTTGCCTGTACCCTCGGGGGTTGTGGCAGTCCATTAGTATGGACTTTGTGTTTGGCCTACCGCGCGATGCGGCAGGCAACACTGGGATTGTGGTCTTTGTTGACCGACTGAGCAAGATGGCTCACTTAGCGGCAGTGCCGGACTCCATTGATGGAGAAGGAACAGCAAAGCTGTTCATGGATCGTGTGTTTCGACAACACGGATTGCCAGTGGCAATCATCTCGGATAGAGACCCCCGTTTTACGGGTAAGTTTTGGACGTCAGTCTTTAAAGTGCTCGGCACTCGACTGGACATGTCCACGGCGGATCATCCGCAGACCGATGTCGACGAACGCTACGCGTTATTGGTGATATGCTTCGCAGTGTTTGTGCTGAAACACCCAAGCAATGGAGCACGATGCTCCCACTGGTAGAGTTTGCGTTGAATAACGGGGTGCATGCCTCGACAGGCTTCACCCCATTCTATGTGAATGGTTTGGCTAATCCTCGCGTTCCGTTAAGGGTACCCCCTGCCACCAAGGCTTAGTGGGGAGAGATAGCCGAAGGCTTGGCTGATATCAGCCCTGTTGCGATGCGCAAGAAGGTGGAAGCGTATCTGTCAACGCGTTTTGACGTATTACGTCGCGTCAAAGACGCTATGGCTGAAAGCCAGGATGTTCAAAAGGAACAAGCGGATGCCAAAGGCAGGAAGAACGAACATGAGCTCAAAAAGTGGGAGATTTGGTTTTATTAAACGCTAGGAATTTACCGACACGCGCAGTGTCTGCGGTATATAAAACCAAACTGCGTCCACGCTTTATTGGACCTTTCAAGGTCATAAGCAAGAAAGGTTTAGCGTATACGCTGAACCTTCCGAAGAAGATGCGAACACACCTTGTGTTCTACGTGGGCTTGCTAAAGCCATATCTCAACCCAGCCTCGGTGGACTTCGAGGGGTTGTCCCCCATACCCCCGGCCGAAGGAGGCGGGTAGTACGGCACCGGAGGTGCATATGGACGCTGAAGGCGTACCAGGAGGTCAATCTGACCCATCGATGCTTGGCTTGAGAACGCTCAATAACCGCTAAGCAATCCGAGGTCTCAGAGCAATAACGCTCAAAAGATCGACAGTGTCGATCGACACGGTCATCGAGCGATGACAGGTGAGACGTCACCGATCCAAGAGTATCACGCTCCAAGATTGTCAGTCGACGCTCGATCTCAGAGAGATGAGAGGTCAATGGGTCATCGACATCTTCCGACGTTGATTGATGACCAGGGTCATTAACAAATCCACGTGAAACGCCTCTTGGCTCGGCGTCGTCATCTGGGTCATACTCAATACTTAGTGAAGTGGAGGGGTTACCCTCAGTCGTATGACTCGTGGGAGTAAGAGGTACCCCTCCGGAAGGATTGCTCTGACGCCATTGACGCTTTTGACCAGGACGGTCAGAAGCGACGACAGCTGTCATCGGACGCTTCCTAGCACTAAGTGTTGTGGAAGTAGGGTCAGTAGGCTGGCTTTGCCTCTGACCTTCTGAAAAAGCCAATGCCGGTACATCCACACTCGAGTGAGAGGTACGGGCAACAGCTTCAGAAGCTTGCTCCCCACAAGTATTTGACCTGTATGTGGAAGGTAATTGACGTTTCTCTTTGAGCTTAGCGAAGTTAAAACGTAGACGACGTTCTAATTAAATGTCTTGCGCTTTAGCGCTTAAGCGCAAGTTTGACAAACTTGAGAGCTTACATGCTCGTTTTCCCCAACGGGTGATCATCTTGTGCAGATGTTTCACCTGGTGCAAGCACCACTGGTATGCCGTTTAGTGAGTGCACAGGCACCCCACTGACTGCCGTGACAGTCTCTCCTGATACGATTTTATCGCAAACTCCTGGGGAGTAAGGAGCCGCTTACAAAGAGCAACACTACCTGCATTCTCGCAGGCCGTACGGGCATGGGACCCAATGACATAGGCTCACAAAGATTGCGATGCAGATCGTCGAGCTTCCTTATTAGGGTCCCGGGGCACGGACCCATAACTCACGTCGTGAAAATGTTCGTTTGGGCGGTGCCAAGGCGGCCGCCTAGGCCTCGTCATCAAGTTGACGACGCTGTGCAGCATTAAGAGGGTCGGTTACCTCTTCGTCTCTACCCTCTCGCGAGGGAAGAGGAGGCGCTTGGCGCACAGGGGTTGTCTCACTTGTAGGGGAAGACATAGATTGGGATCGGCGTCCCTCGCTCGGTGAGCGTGATGTCTTAGGGTCACTTTGACCCGAAGGTGACTCGGCTCCGCCGCCCGTTGAGGCAACGTCACTGTCATAGTCCCCAAAAATCTCGTGACGCGTTGCTTCATCCATGATGGAGCTAGCGCTATTGAGACAAGTGCTTTCTAAAGCAAGTGTTCGTGAGCACTGTGATGCTTAAAGCAAGTGTTGTGAACACTGTAATGCTTAAAAGCAAGTGTTGTGAACACGGTATTGCTTAAAAGCAAGTGTTGTGAACACTTATTGCTTAAAAGCAAGTGTTGCGAACACTGTATGGCTTAAAAGCAAGTGCTAGGCACCTTGTGCCGTGAAAGCAAGCGTTCGTGAACACACAAAGGATATTAATACCAAAGTGCTTGGCACTTAACGCTTATAAGCAAATGTCGTAACACTTAATGCTTTAGCGTGAGTGCGATGCACTATATGCTTAAAGAGCGAGTGTCGTAACACAAGGATGCTTAGAAAGCGTGTGTGCAATGCACGGGTGCTCAAAGAGCAAGTGTTATAAACACAGGAGCTTTAGACGGAAGTGCAAGCACTTACTGCGAGACAAGCAAAATGAGAAGAAAATGAACTCGATGCCTCCAATTAGTGCGAAAATTCGTGGGTACGTCGGGTCTCACGGATTGGTGGGGAGAGTGTAACGGGATTACACGAAGGTGTGTATTCTACATACATACCTGCCACACCAGTGTAGTGTGGCTGTACCTTGGGTACAAAGTAGGTGTTGTGACCGTACCTGAAGTACGAAGGGTCACATCGTGGCAGAGCCACGTGGTCACTATACTTATTTAAAGTATAGTGACTATACATGTTTACATATTAATAGGCTACAAAGTCAGTAAATAGTGACTAGCACTAAGTATAGAGTAGGTGCTTCTATACTTAGTGTTAGAAGATAAATATATATATAAATCAGTTTCAAACCTGCTCTATAAGCATCACTGCTTGAGCTTACTATTCCTCCTGAGGAATCGTATCTTTGATACTAGCTCTTTGATACACGGTCACAACAAACGATAGGCACAAGCTTACGAGCTAGCCTAGGAGGGTTAAGCACCCTAAGAGGTAGAAGCTCTCTGAGCTTGTCTTCCTCTGCACATAGTGCATAAGTAGCTTTGCTACAGTAGTGTGACTACTTCTTCTGCACAAAGTGCATCTGCACATAATGCATAAGTAGCGTAGCTACAGTAGCTCGGCTACAATTTCTGTATTCACTTTATAGATCATTGACAAAAAAAGAGATTAAGCAATGCCTGTTTCCTAAGATTCAGGCACAAATATTATCTAGAAGCAAAATATTCCGTACAAACTCAAGTTTGAGTAAAGTTCTAAAACATTTGGAATTTTTGATTGGCTGATAACTCTTCAGGTTAACAAAATGTGAACAAATATAAAGTAAACTACCATAGAAACATTGATTGTGCTGTCTGTAGCTCCATGCAAGACCAAGAGAAGCCCCCATCGTTTCCAAATGTACCCAAGAGTTCTTGTACGATCTCTTCTCTTTCTTTCTTTCTTTCTTGACGTAGTATATTGCGTAGCCTAGTGATCTTAAACTGCTGGTTGTCTTGATTGTTGTGACAGTATTTTCCAGACTGGAAGCGTTTCTACCTGTGATGGCTGAGGAGAACAAGAAACTGAACGACGCAGTAGCAGGAGGTGAAGCCTACAAGCACAGTATTGAAGTGGAAGAAGACGAGGAGGAGCAAAGTGATGGACATGGAGATGGTGCTATGATTGGAGAGAGCGATAAGAAAACAGACTCGAAGGCTCTCGTGATTGAAATGGTGCGTTGGTAGCTATAATAATTTTGTACAGTGTCATCGGACCGACAAACTAATCAACCTTTCTGTTATGATGCAAAATAGAACTTTGCATTAGGTATGATGGACGAGAACGGCAGCGACGGTGAGGATACGAATGCTATCAGCCTGGATGCACAGACCAAGGCTCCAACAAATGCTCATGTAATTGGTGCGACTTCAGGATCATCAACGCAGAAGAATGAAGACAAGTCATCGTTTTGTATGTGGCTGGAAAGGCCCAGTAGTAAGCCACGTCCTTTTATCCAGGAACTTAATTGAAGCGAGCTATGATAGACAGCGCATTGGTGGAACCTATTTACGAAAACGGCACATAGAACTATGGTCTTGTTTTGTCATACATGCACTTTTTGTCAAAAGATATTATCTGAAATACATTAACCAGTGAGAAGCTTGTGTTCCTTTCCGCATCTATTGTTTTGTAAGCACGTACCATCCATTGCTATCGTTGGCATGCAATAGGTCCATTATTGAATTTTCTGATTCACAACTTTTGTCGTCGCCCAAAAACGAGAGGCTCCAGTCCAGTTTCCAAATAGCTACGACCACTAACTCGGAAGTCCGGACAGCAGCAATATGTTCTACCAGCTCTCGCAGAAGTTTTCCAAAGGAAGTACGATAGCCATTACTATTCCGACCATCATCGCCGTGTCGTACGCTACGTTTGCCTTTTTCCGCTACACGGGTACGCAGTAATAACTCTTTTATCTGTTTCTTTTGTACAATGTCCTTAGTACTTATTTTATTGCTCTAATTGACAGGCCCGGACCTTGGTGGAAACGTTCGTGGGTCACCTAAGACCACATCAGCCGAGTGGCAGGCGGCCTCTGTGGAGTATGGCAAGGCACAAAAGGCCAATCCTATTCGTCACTTCAAAGACTAAGTACAGCAGATAAAAACAACAATCGAGCCGTGTGTTTTCGGCTGCCATTGATGATGCGTGGCTGTCTGGTTGATGGGCGACCGACCTTGCTTGTAATTTTGACTGCAGGGTGAGCGTGTTGGAGAGACAATCAGCAAGCTTTTTGTCGAATAGAAATGGAATCACTGATGAGCACAGCAGGCGTGCTTGTGTTCCTCTCGTCGTCTTCTGCATGTCTGTCTACCTCCTACCTCTAATGAATAGAAAATAAATATGCTAACATGACGGCAGAGTAACTTGATCCTGCTGCTGCTTTCCGGATACATTCGTTTATTTTTTATTTGCCGCTTGTGTACGGCACAAAGGCTCGACTAACTGAAGAATGCATCGTAGCGAATAACAGAAGTGCACCGACTAGCAAATTACTATCTATCTGCTTTATCTTCAAGTTGCAGGTATCCCCTGGATGCACACAACATACATCGGTAAACAAGTATTCAACCGTAGCAGACAAACAGCATGCGATAGACCACGCACCAGCTCTGCAACCTGTGCCTTGCGTTTAGCTTCAGCGGCGTCCCAACTATCCATAGCACGCTGACGTTGTCTGTTCTCCGCTTCGTCCTCGTCCTTTAGTTGCTGCTCATCCTCGTCGTCACGGAATCCAAAGTAATCAGGCTCAATATGCTTGTACATGTCTTGCCGGGTGCGTTTGCGAGGTTCACGCTCCTCTTTCTGAAAAAGCTCGCGCACACCGGGGAGATTTTTTGCAGCTCCAAAATACTTGTAGCCCCGTGCGCCACTCACAGTAGCTCCATCTGCATCATAGGCCTGTGGCTGCGATCGCGCATAGTCCGGTCCACCCAATTGCACGATACGCCGCTCCCAATGCCGCTTTTCACAAATGCGTTTGTTGATCTCATCGTTCAGGTCACGAATCACGTGCTCGCTTGAGCCAGCTAGCAAGCAGTACAGAGTATCGTGAACAATACATACAGAAAACAGAACAGAATAAAGCGATAATGACTCACCATTTTGAATATCTGCAACCTTCTTGGAAATCTCGCGAATAATCTGTCGTCGCCAGCGCTCGGCGTCTTTGAGGTTGTCACATTGGGAAGCCAAATACGGTCGCCGACTGTGAGATACAGAGAGTGAGTAGAGTAATCAATATACATATATAACACGCACACACGTATGTATATACATGATAGTACGTACTTCTTGAATGTATCAACAAAGTCCTGTTTCATGCTCGTCCATCGATTCAGTAGCGACTGCGCTTTCTCTTCATTGCGTGCCATTTTTCTTAGCTATAAAGTGCTAGAATGGAATGAAGTTGTTGCATAATACGTTATCTACACAAATTACTTATTGTTGTTGCGTGAATGTAATCAGAAGTAACACCTCACATCCTGTGCATGTGGACCACATCAACTTACGTCCAAGGGTGTCCAAACGCATTTTCTGACTGACGACGCTAGACATGGTGAGGATATGGAACCATGCGACAATAGGTGCGAATTCATTACTACGACATCGTGACTGGGTACGTATGGTATCTACGAATACGTCAAAGTCAAAGGTAGCATTCTATGATCTTGTGGTGATTGGAAGTGGCCCATCCGCGACGCAATGCGCACTTGAATCAGCTAAACAGGGCAAGCGCGTGGCTATTGTGGACAAGAAAACACGTCTAGGTGGTGTATGTGTGCATACTGGTACTATCCCATCCAAGACATTTCGTGAAGCGGTGCTGCATCTTTCTGGCTATCGTCATCATGGTTTCTATGGTAAGTCATATAGTATGAAGACGGTCACGATTCAGGACATTCTGTATCGCGTACAGCGTGTTGTGAGCTCTGAGGAGGACGTCGTTCGCGCACAGCTTAAAGCTGCCCGTGTAGATGTTATTCCTGGATTCGCACGCTTCGAAAACGAGCATGAAATTTCAATTGTAAAGGAGGACGATGACAAGACAGAGACGAGTCAGCGCAGCAACGTAGACACGCTGTCCCGCATTAATGCCGACAAGTTCCTCATTGGCTGTGGCACACGACCTGCTCACAATCCGCTTGTACCTATTGACGGAAAGGTGGTGATCGACAGTGACCAGATCCTCAGTCGTAACATGCACCAATTGCCTCGCTCGCTCATTGTTGTGGGCGCCGGCGTTATCGGCATGGAGTACGCGTCCATGATAAATGTGGTGCCTGGCCATTCCGTCACGGTGGTGGATGAACGCCCAGATGTGAGCACGACTGGGAGAGAGAAGATTATTGTTGATGCTGCCGTTATTTAAGCTAACGGACCGATTTGTGTATGCAGATTTTGTCCTTTTGCGACCGCGAGATCATCAGTAATCTTACGTACGAGATGCAAAGCAATGGCGCACGCTTTCTGCTTGGTGAGACCATAAAAAAAGTCGAGGTGGTTTTCAATTTTTTTGCGTGGGTGACACTAGGACAGTTTTGCTAAACGCATATGTGTTTGCTGCTGTCAGACAACCGATTCTCGAGTGAAAGTTTTCTTTAGCAGTGGCAAGGTGCTTAGTGCCGATGCTCTTCTGTACACGGTTGGTCGTCAGGCGAGCACGGACGGACTGAATTTGGAGGCAGTGGGGCTTTCGCGTAATCATCGTGGTCTGATCAATGTGAACAAGAACTATCAGACCGACCAACCCCATATGTAAGACCAGGTCGCTTGTTTTTCCTTGTAATACGTATGTACGTGGGTGACCTTCTTCCTCGTTCTTTAGCTATGCCGCAGGAGATTGCATCGGTGCGCCGGCGCTTGCGTCCACAAGTATGGAACAAGGTCGCCTGGCATCATGCCACATGTGGAATCCAAACGAAGAGCTTGCCGCAACGAGTCAGTTAGAAAATGGCAAATACCCGTATGGCATCTACACGATCCCAGAGATTTCGATGGTGGGTCAAACGGAGCAGTATCTTACGAAAAGTTGCATGAACTACGAAATTGGTGTTGCAAAGTACTCGGAACTGGCAAAGGGCCAGATGATGGGTGCAATAGCTGGTGGCACCTTGAAGATCTTGTTTGACCCTGACACGCTCAAACTGCTTGGCGTGCACGCCATTGGAGAAGGTGCCACGGAGATTATTCACATTGGACAGGTTGCTATGGCCATGGACTGTACACTGACGTATTTCCGCGATGCTGTATTTAACTACCCAACATTGGCGGAGGCTTACCGCGTCGCTGCCTTGAATGGACTGGGCCGTCTCAGTCGTGACATCGAAGAACACTAATCTTAACTCGTGTTGATACTGTATGCGAAAAACTGTCAACCAGGGCGTATAGTAGATTGTGCAAACAAATAAATAGGATTTCCATTAGGTATCCAGCAGCGCAGATATTGGGAGCTCGATAAGTAGCAGTACGGTAATCTGTTTAGCCATATTCCACGCACTTGATGCAGTCACCAACAACATTTTCTCGCGTTGTTCCAGCGAGTGCATCCACTGCACAACATTTGCAGCGCCCTTGCAATATGCATTTCCACATGGCGTCCGTAACAAAGGCACTGGTCCAAGTTGTGGTCCTCGGACATTCTGTCTACAAGGCATATGCAATCATGTTCTGTTTACACGAAAGATGAGATAAACATGCTTGGCGCGTCATACGCTTTCAGCGAGAACTGGACGTAGAAGCAGTACTGGACGATAGCCTCTAGCAGTGTATATAGGAGATATTAAACTGCAGAACGTCATGAAAAGCGGCATTTTAGCATCATTTATGTTGTTGCGATACATCTCGACACTTTAATAAGCCGACTGTTTATCCCACGTGAAGCGCAACGAATCAAACAGTTGGGACATTTATGACAGTGCCATACAAAGGAAGCTGCGCCACGCCACACCACCACCTAGATATTGCCTATATACTACACGATAACTCATGCCACGCATAAAAAAAATGCCTAGCAGATCCGCATGAGTTCAAAAGGTTACAACCTAGCAAGAGTTTTTGCAACAAATACATGCAGTCGATGGATGTTGCATTCTCACTCGTTACAGATTTAAAGCTAACGAGCAAATAGAGTAGGTGCGCTTGGTGTGATCAAAAAATCGGAAAAAATCATTAATTTTAATTGGATGTACTCTATTAAATCGTGCGCTATTTTGCAATAACGTCTGTTACGGTTATTTGAGAATCCAAATGTCAGTCAAAACTTTAAGCCATGGAGGACGAGCTAATTGCCCAGCGCGATGCAGCCATTGCCGTGACAAAAGAGCTGCAGCGACAGTTACAGACCCACCGAGAAGATATGGAGAGAAAATTTGAGCGTCGTACGCTAAATGCAGAACGACTTCGTCTTCATGCAGAGGAGAAATTACGGCGCGCTGTGGAGGACCGCGACTGGAGCGAGAGTTGCTATCATCGACTACTGGCTCTGGCACTTTTTATGGGCTGTGGTGGTGCTGTTATTGGCTGGGCTGTAGGTCTATTAGTGTTGTTGATGGTTGGCGAGCCGCTCGTGGGGTTTCTGTTGGTGCTTCCTGGGATGGCGTTGGGAACTTTGACGGGACTCGCGGTGGCCAAGACGAAGATTCAGTTGGAAAACAGACGGCGAGACGCCAAATACAGAGAAGATAAACGCCACTCAGATGTGGAAATGGCTGTCAGCAGTGGAGTGGGAGATCAGGAATTACCGTTGGAGCCGCTCGAGGGCGTTCCTGGTATGCAGGACGTTGCAGAGAAGAACTTGAGACAGGCTGAACGAGAAAGGAAGGAAGCTGTAGGAGAGAACGAGGTGGCACCTGGATCTAGATCACTGCTTGGCATGGGCTGGAACGCGACGTGGCTTATGCTGCGGACATTAAAGGACATTGGTGTGGGACTGTACTATGGAAGAGAGGAGGAAGGGATGTTGCACTCGCTTGAAGATAAGAATAAGAGGGAGTAATTTATTTAACAAAGACAACAGGATGTCCAACAACTCACGTGACGAAGCAGAACAAACAACAGCGATTACATTAGCACCAACACGTGCTCTCTTGTCGTCGTGTTAGTATAATGAAATCGTCGACTTGGTGCTACCAGTGCCGGTATCATCACGCCGACACCGTTATCAAAATGGTGTTGGATGACTGACTGCCTTGTCGCATACTTGTAAGTACTTCCAAGTTGTCGTCTGACATCTCGTTTTTTGTTGACTCACGGTCCGTGCCTTGTCCTGCCCGTCATCTATAGAGAGACACTGCGGCACTGCAATAGAGCGTTGCGACGATATTCAGGAGCTCAGCAATGATTATGAGGGCAATAAAGAGTGAGGCTTTTTTTTACTAACGAGACATTTCTTGATAAGCTGAGCATTCTTAGTAAAAACAAGACGTGCTGGTTGCTGAACGAAGTCTATTGGATAGGTTTGGTTAAGAAAGAAAAAAGCAGACGGTCGGTCTATGAATAAATTTATGGTAAGCTAGGCAAGATGCCTCGAATGCTCTAAGCCAGTTATTGGATCCTGTGGCGTTCATCATCTTTAATAGCGGCGCTACGAGAACAATTCCAAAAGCACTTTACGCCCAATGATTAATCCATTATTAGCGCCTCAAGGATTGGCAAAACATGTAAGCGACAACTTTTCTGTCGTTCAGTTGTATAGCAAAAACATTTAAGATCACCTTTTGTTCCTTCTCGAATACCACTACGATTGACACCACGCAATCGGGTGATAAAAGCTTCCTACCACTCCCATAGCCATATAAAATCGTGGTGGAAATGTTTTCTCACTGGATGTTGATTAGTGTTACCACGCGCTACCACGTTGGGTCTCTGTAGTATAAAAACAAATGACCTGGTTGCTGTTCGCCATATGGAAAGAACTGGTCAAAGCTCGTCATGTGGCAAGCAGTGTTAATGGCAAGTAGGTCCGACCTTGCCAGCAGATGGCGCTTAAGACTCGTAAGTTGTTGACGCTAACTACGAGGAAAAGACGACAGATAACACAAATGTGATGATGGATCAAAATACGTTATACTTTACAATCTTTTCTACAGGGCCAATACCTCCTCCTAAGCCACTGCAGTAGACCTCGTTCTTCCTGCTATCTTGCTCTGCTGGTCTTTGCTAGATAGACTTGCTTTTGCTCATGCATTAGGTAGATCATACATGTGAAGGTCTCTTGCTTTTCTGCTCCGGCGATGACAAATTACACCGCCAGGTCACTGACGCCCGAAGGGCTAGACTCCTTACGCATGTCCTGCTTGACCTCGTTCATATAGCTGCCAGCACTCGGACTCGAAAACTCGGACGAAATCTCGAAAGGCACAAGGCTAAACTCGATGGCAGTCATGAAGTTGTTGTCGTCTGTTAGAACTGACGCCAGGAGTGTGAGTGTCACAACGTTGTTTCCCACTCCCTGCGCCTGTACAATAGCGCTAATGGGCTTCATGCTACTGCTGACCGACTGCACAATGGCATTAAGCTTGCTGCTGTCCAAACAGAGACAGGAGCGAAGCGTGTTGCCGTCCATTAGATTTTCCTCGGTCAGACCGGTCTGTGACAAAAAGGCCGAGTTAGCAGCCATCAACTGCATGTTCTGGTCTACAACAAGACGCGGCGTCGAAGACTGATCGAAGCACCGCTTGAAAACACTATCCATGGGGTTGCCACTTTGCGCCTGGAATCGAAAACTGTCAGCCTGCTTCTCAGCACGCTCAGCCTTCTGCTTTGCGATGAGAAGATTGCTGCGAAGCATACTAACATAATGAAAAGTATTGTCCAAGATCGACTGTTTGTTTTTCTTGGATTGCACACCGGCTTCATCAAGCAAAGACTTGAGCTGATTGATTCGATCATTGAGCTTGAACATTCGTTTCTTCTCCTTCATATTGAGCTCCTCACGCGAGCGCTTGGATCCCGAGTGCGAAGGCGTGGCGCAACCCACGGAGCTGCCCGAGTTGTAGTCGGTTGACACCTGAAGCATCTGCGCCGTCATAGGTGGTGGTGCATAGTACTGTCCAGGGTGCTGCATGTTTATGATGATGGGCTCATGATCAAAGTCACCCTGCTGCTGGTGCGGGTCTGCTGATGCTGAGGCGTCTGCATATGATGTTGCGGCGTCATGTTGTTCGGGTGCACAAGCTGCTGGAAGTCATGCATGCCTGGGCCGTGATACCCGCCACCATTGGAGCCATGGTCAAGCGATGTACCAAAAAGCTTCGGGCGCTCACCACTGTGCTGGTGATGCTGTGGTTGCACCTGGTAATGGGAGTAGCCGTAGTCGTTCTGAAGCATCTTTCGTCAAAGTGAATGAGAGAATAACAAACGTCCGAAAACTTGAGTGTGTGTGTTGAGCAAGTGAGTGGGACTTGGCCAAATGTGAAATGACAATATGGTTGGCAGCAGATGGTGGAGCGCAGGAAGGAGCGGTCTATCAGTTTATACAAATGATCGACTTAGACAGGATTTGACCTGGCCGTCTTATCGCGAGGCCTCTACAGACAAGAAAGTGGGGGTGAATTTCTTACGAGAAAGGACTAGGGGCTCTGAGATAAGTATTGCATAAGTGTATTTTTGTATGTACCCTCGATCGATGCAGAGCCGATACTACTCTAAATGTATTTTTGTATGTGGCCGCGATCGATGCAGAGCCGATACTACTCTAAATGTATTTTTGTATGTGGCCGCGATCGATGCAGAGCCGATGCTACTCTTTTTGAAAAACTATTATTACCTGGTGGAAACGCCGGCAATGCGCAAACTCACGACAGCTGTAGAGGACGTTTATGAAGTAGACAAAGGATTTTGCTCATACAATAGGCTACGATAATAGTTGAAAGGCTCATAGAGCAGATTTTTAGCTCTCGAATAGCGGCGACGAGATCACCTTTCCCATCCTGTACGCAAGCTCCATCTCTCACCCACCCATGTAGGCTACATTGTAGCGGCTTTCTTCAACCCAAACTTACCGCTGCTGCACGTTGACGTGCGGAGCTTTCGTTGTTGTTACTGCGCAGACTGAGCACTTATCGTTATGCCCGCACGGTTCGAGCAATCAAATGCAGTGGCCATGCGGCCAGATCATTTGCGTGCCGTTATTCCCCTTTCTTTTTTTTAAAGCTACGCTGCGCCGAGCAGCCGATGGCTAGCAACAGCTGCCAGAGAGACTACCAAAATCGACAATCCACCCTCTCGTGTACTGGTAAACGCAAAGCCGGCGGTGTGCCGCCACATGGCAACCATTTTGGTGCGGAGCATCATCATGCAAAGAAAGCAGAGAGCTCGTTTGCTCGCCACGGGATAACATGTTTGTTACATGGTAAGAAATCAGCAGGGATCGGGCGGGCTTGGTGCCGAGATCATCTTTAATACATAATAGATACTGGCCACAGTCCAACGAGCTATATACCAATGCAGTGACGACTGCAGCCCCAATCTCGCAGGATGGTCCTGACACTGCGCACGTACCCCATGTTGCTCATGACAACCGATAAGAGAGCCCTTCAGCCTCTAGCGGGCAGCTGCTTTCAGCGAGCTGCTGTTGGTGGCTCTGCTCTTTTAAGTCAGCCCCTAACGCCATTCGAGTGACTGCTTGCCGCTGATCGTCGCTACATCACGTCCTGGGGTTTGTATAGAGCAGCTCGACGGCCAGAACCGAAGGTTGGGAGATGCTTTACCATCCGCCATACGATTGCCACGTGTCTTGAAAAGGCGATTTGCAGCCACGTTAATGTGCGCCACCGAGTCTTGCTAGATTCAAGCTCCATATAGTCGCTCCCCTTACCACACGCGAGGCAAATGTCAGTCTTGGGCTCATTTGGCCCGCACTCGCTTAGTCGGACTAAGGTGCTCAAGCGAACGACTTTACAGCTACAAATGCCCTGCAAGATAAGTTGTTGCAGAAATTGCGGTCATCAAAGTCTATACTAAACCTCTTTGATAGCCTGCGGGCGGGTTTCGCAACGACGATGAAATTGAGGTGATACCACAAGTTTTGTGCGGCACGCCGGATCCAACCAATGTAATCACTTCAAGCTACCGTTCGTTGAGTAGTTTTGTATACTTCTTGACATTGCTGACATCTGTGTCTCGTGACGACGTTGTCCATCGTTTCTAAAGGCGTACGACAAAGCCTGTCTAACCCAAAATCCTGATGTTCGAGATGACCGTACCCATCATGTCAACAGCAAATCCACAATGTGACGACATCTTACAATTTAACAACATTGAAGGCTTGGACAAACAGTCGGTATAGCTTCAACACGAACATTTGGAAACGAGTGTTATGCTTTATAAACGATGTTGGTGAGACTGTATTTGATTTCTTCCTTCTTTATGTTTTTACATGCGTGGAAACTGGTCAATTTGTACCCAGATCTATTCATCATTTCTCCGAGGTCAGGATCATGTATTTTTATCGATAATCATGATTGCATAAGACGTTGACAACCCTGGTTCCTTTTTATGGAAGTGGTAGTTGCAGATAGATGTACCTTTTTCGCCATAATGCAACAGTGTTGGATTTTTTCGTTCTCATGCCGCAGCAGTTGCCCGCATAATGCTGGTAATTGATACCTGTAACAATGACATGTATACTAAAATATAGTCGACGTAGCATGCTTCGAGAGCTAGAACATGTTTGCGAAGTATGTTGCACATTCATCGTTTTATTAGCATCAATCCACACTATCTAGACAACGCATGGCCCATCACGCGAGTACAGAATACGCATGCTGCATGAATGCGTGCGTGTTTGCAGCCTTGAGGGCCAATATTGAAGTGGACAACGAAATCAGGTCCATTGACAGGGTAAGCAATGTGTTGAACTAATAGCACATATTGTGTTACAGCTTGCTTTTCTTTGCGCCAACGCTCCCCCTATTTGTGCCTGTAGCTTTTCTTCAATACAATAAGGTCGTTCACGATGCTCTGGGCCTGACTAACGCGCTGTGGCAATCACGTGTTTTCGTTCAGATCGCCATCATAGTGACTGTTCGCAAGGATATGGAACGAAGGTCCAGCTGATGATGACGCACTAACGAGACTTGGTCCCACGCATGCAGCTCAGTGGCACGCCCACGTGCGAGACGCAACGCATATTGTCGTACAGTTGAACTTTAGGTGATGCAATCACTTGTGGAGTTGTGACTACACTAGAAGGAGCGACGAGTCGCAGTTGAACTAAACTGTCGTGACTCCTAGTCCACAGTGTCAGGAGCTGCCGGCCTACTTGGCAAGTAAATGAACTGTCAATCCTGGCCAAACAAACAGCAAAACTGATGAGCTTATTATGCACGGTAGCAAGTTGAACGAGCTCGTCAAGGTTGTCCGTTTTTCGAGCCCGCCAAGACTACTGTCAATAGGTCGACACGATTCGTTGTCTGCATGAAAGACGGAGATGCTGACGTGGCGTTGTGGTCAGCAGTGGCTAGGATTTACTATACGCCCTAACACACTGGTCTTAAAGCTGTAGTCATTTCTTTTCCTCATACTCGGTTTCGATCGTTGAACCAACGCGAGCTACGACGCTTGCTGTGACGGTTCCATTGTTTGTAGACTTGACTAGTAATGTTCAATGCGCATCTAGTAAACTCTTGTTAGTACTTGTCGTAAGGCTTTGTGCATTGATTGCTTGTTGGTCGTTGATGTATATTTCGGTTATCTAAAGAGCATTTTTTGAGTACAGATGACGCTTTGACGTTTTCGTGAGTCTTACGATTCATTTTTCAAATTAAACATTCGTGTCTTCGACGTGGTTTCATTGACTCATTCCTCACTCACCCATGGTCGTATGTTTGCGCGTTTGTTCATGTTTTAACCAATAGTGCTACAGGTTCGTAAGGTCATAAAAGAGCAATAAACTTGTCTCGTCCTCTACTGGCCGCTGACGACGATGAAGATCTTACCGTTCGCCCACCTGACTATTTATCGAGATATCTATGGGTTTGCAATGATTTTAGGTATGTTGTTAACGGGAAGGCAGAGAGCAACGGCCATGAACACGATGAGATGCCGTACTTTATCCCCAGAGAAGGCGGAAGAGACAATGATGTGGACAAGGACATGCGACTGCTATGCTATCAGCCTTGTACTCAGTGGCCGTGCTGGAAATGGATATTTCCTGACCGCATCAGCGATTACGAGGATTTTGCCACATCAGCGCAGATGGGGGAAATCCATTCACTCCGACGGACGGCGCGCGAGCAGCTTTGACCCGACGTTGCCAGGTACTGCGCGACTAGTGAGATGTGTCTGACAAAGACGCAGGTCTGACACGGAGCATCTTTTGCAGAGGATGACGATATGCTGCAGCATTTATGGAGTGGCCTGTTTCCGATGCTTCCTTACGAAGGACGTGTCAACGCGCGCTGGCGAGACGTAGGCTTCCAAGTGCGTTGAACCAGCACAGTCACTCTTGCTTATTGTTACTAGTAATGGGACATGAGCTTGTGTTGATGTTTTTTTTTCTCGCAACAGAATGATGACCCAGTGTCAGACCTTCGCACCTCTGGACGTTTGGCCATCCGGATGCTGCTCTACTTCTCAGACCACGTGAACGATGAGTTTAAGGTGAACGAACCTCCAACTCATCCTTTTCTTGATGCTCGCCATTGTCGCTCTTCTCAATTTTTTGTTTGATTGCAGCGTATGCTAAGGGAGAACTGCTTTCCTGTGTGCGTGTGCGCATTGAACCTGCTGGAGATGCTGTTGTGCCACTTAAAACTCAAGGAGCCACTGCCTTTAGTTTGTCCATGTTGCGGCACGGAAAATGCTGAGCTAGAGACATCAGCGCAACCGAGTCGAGCCCATCCAGAGCTATGTGGTTTCACAGCATTAATAGTTGACGCATCCTCACTTGCGTCAGCGGCATTTTCTCACCGATCAGCGGAAGGCGGGCCTGCAGAGGTAGCTCTTGCGCATATATTTGCCCACTCGCTTTTAGTGATGGACGCCGTATGGAAACAGCGGCTGCAGCAAAACCCGGCAATGACACTGATGCACTTTCGTGAAGCCCTTGTAGAGACTCGAGCACGTATTGTGGTCTTTCTTTCACGTCGACGCATCCCCCTTACGCTTGAAGAGCTTAATGTATGGGGCTATCGGCAACGAGAACGGTGTCGCAGTTTTTGTAAGAAAAGATAGCATTGTTTAAGCAACAAATAAAATAGCGCTCGACCCCAAGCTACTAAATCGAAGCTTATTGCACGATATTCCAATCAATAGGCTCTTTGCCATGCTTTTCGAGGTAGCTGTTGGCACGCGAGAAGCACCTTGAACCCAGGAATGGCGTGTTAGTTTTGGTGGCACCCAGCGGTGACGGGTGCGACGAACGCAGCACAAGATGTCGACTCAAATCAATTAATGAGCTTTTTTCCTGTGCTGGTTTCCCCCAGAGCAAAAAAACGACGTTTGAGGCGTCTTTGCTAACTCTAGAAATGACAGCATCCGTGAAATGCTCCCAGCCGCGCTTCTTGTGGGAATTAGGCTCACCCCTGCGAACAGTAAGCACCGTGTTAAGAAGAAATACGCCCTGGCGACTCCAGCATGATAAGCAGCCGTGTGTGGGGCGGGAAATACCTACATCGGTCATTGCCTCTTTAAAAATGTTCTTAAGACTTGGTGGTGGCGGGACCCCGTGGCGCACCGAGAAGCTCAGTCCATGCGCCTGTTGTGGCCCGTGGTACGGATCCTGACCCAGAATCACCACCTTAATATTTGAAAAAGCGCAGTCTCTCATTGCCGCAAACACATCAGCTGGAGGTGGATAGAGGGTCCTTTTCCGGTCTTCCTCGCCTTCTAGAAATCTCGTTAGTGCTTGAAAAGAGCCGTGCGCAAAATCTTTCTTCAGCAATTCGAACCACGAAGGATGCATCATCAAACGCAATAGCGCCTTCCTCTGCAGATGGGCAAACCTTGTCACTTGCACTACCTCACACTGCTCTCTGTTTCTGTCATAATCCTGTTCTTTGTTGTTGGTCTCGTCCTGTTCGTCTTCTTGATTCTGCTTCTTACTGTTTGACTCCACTATAGACGTTTTGTGAACGACGTTGTCTTGCGTTAATATGTCAAGCACGTCTTTGCCTTCTTTCGTACGACGTTTCTTGGCTGGTGGTAAAGCTCCAAAGAATGAACGGATATCGCGCGTCGCTCTCGTCATCTTGTCCCGGTCGATGACTTTAATCGCCACAAGCGAATGCGGCTGGCTAAAAGTGTGAAGGTTTCAGCCAATCAAAAGAAGACCTACATAGTGATATAGGTAAAGCTGCAAGGTAATTTAGTGACTTTTTGCTGCTTGTTGTACACAGAGGTTGCACTTTATGCTACACCATTGTGGTGTGGCTGTACATTGATGAGTTGATGTGATTGTACGCAAGGTACAGTGGGTTTACGTGGTCATTGACTTAGTTTAAGTATATTAAATGCATATGCTTACATGTTAGGAGGCAACAGAGCCAGATAAATAGTGACTAGCACCTAAATTTAGAGCTAGAAGATAAACATTTAATAAATCAGCTTAAAAACCTGCTCTGTATAGCTTCTAGAGCATTAGTCCTTGTAGAATGAAAGTTGTAAGCCAGACAGTGGTCTCATTAAGCCGTGGAAGTGTTGAAAATATATAGCACTGACGCCATTTGGGATGTGGAAGAGATGGGAAGCGTGTTGAGATAAAGTTACACATTGATTGCAGAGTTACAGTACTGATTATGTATCAATCCCGTAATATCGTTATTGGATTAAGAAGAATAGGCTCAGAGGTAACACAGGGTAGTAAACTAAGGACCTATATATATACTTTTCATTTACTTCTAATTCAATTGTTCCAAGGTACAAGCTTGTAAAGCTAGCCTTGAGAGGGTTTTAGCCCTAAGACGTAAAGCCTATACTTGTTGAAGAGCAATTCAGCTTCGCTACACCATCAATTTTCGCAGTAAAGTAAAAATCCAAGAATTGCATGTAACAAGGCCTTTTAGAAAGGCCCGCTTGCACACATTTTGTCCAAAGGCAAGATGGGAACGAGCTTAAAGTGCAACAATTGGTGAGGTACACTATGTACACCCGCCACAAGTTTGTGTATGTTACACAGGGTGTGGTACAGGGAACTTCTATAAGTATGTGAGAGATACATAAAGTGTGGTACAGTACCATGTTTGAGATAAACAAAGTGTATCCACATGGGTGGCAGCAGCTGAAGTAGTCACTTTAGGGTGCAATCAGTGATCACGTCACAGTCGTAATCCTGATGCCTACTGATGACTCCAGCATAGGGATGCGCGTCTTATTATAGCGCGCGTTCAACATGATTTATGTGGAACAATATAAGTAGGTTTATATTTGATAAGTTAAACATAAATTAGTCTTGTTTTCCATACACCCACATTGTGCTGAGAAGTCGGTATTACCGCTTCCAGTCACACTTAAGGGACGAGGCAGCCTTAGAGATTTTCCGTCTACTATCACCTTCGCTGACACGCGAGAGAAGACAGTTTAATCGCTTCCTCGACGCGCAAAGGGTGTGTGCTTAGGTAGAGCGTGGTTCCTAAAAGCGCCCACCTACTTTGCATGTCCTACAACCCAGAATAGCGTACCTTCCAGCTGGACCTGATCTACATCAGCGTCACTACTGCGTGCAGCAGTCCACTATTGGTTGACGCCACCCAGTGCTACTCTTACTAATACCAGGTTTGTCCAGGGCACGTGCGGCACCTTGCCCTTTTGGTTCGGTCTATCGCCGAGACGATTGGCTACAAGATTTGCAACGACGGCAGTGTCGTCTGGCTACAGCGCCATTTGGAAATTTATGGAAGCCGTCACAAAAAACTAAAGCCAAGTAATAGATGCCATACTATAATCGAACTTAGTTCGGTGGGGTGGAAGTAGAAGTATTTAGAGTATATATAGTCTTCATAGGTATTTATGAATAATGATAATATAAATTAGCAATATAGACTATATGTGTAATGGAGTAAGTCTGTTTTATGAATCCTAACTTACGTACATTATTCTGGAGTTTTAGTCCGAATATTGTATTAAAGTAGGACATTATCTAAGTAGAATAATGTTCCCACCACACCGACAAGGTGATCATGATCTTTATATAGGCCATGCTGTCAACTAGCATGCCGAGGACACATATAAACAAATCGTACTTATCAATCATCATTACATTTGCATCTAAATATGATCAGAAAATTTATATATGATTATTATGTAAGATTAACTATACTCAATTCTACCTAGCTTTCACTTTTCCTTAGTATAAAAGTTTTCTATTCAATCGCAGGCTTTCTATACTCAATTCTACCTAGCTTTCACTTTTCCTTAGTATAAAGTTTTCTATTCAATCGCAGGCTTTCTTCACACAATTTACAACAAACACGATGTTCTGGAGCGAGTTGCATTTAGTTACCAGTGCAAGCGCTCACATGAAGGCGCAGCTTACCCCGTTATCTTGGCTGGAATTTAGTTACAGCTGAAGTGGCTATAATTGTCGTAGAATTAACTACAATTTGATGTTTGTGTTGAAGGTTAGCATTTGAAAAATTGTACGAGCTCCGAGGTTTAGTTCATGCAGCGAAGTTCTTGCGATAGTGCATCATAGTTGACAAGAGGAGTCAGTTGATTGTAACATCACATGGGTTTACATATAGGCTACATACAAACAGATTTGGAATCCCCAATTAATGCGTGGACAACATATGAATAAGGTTTGTTGGAAGACCTAATGGTATGTGGACAACATACAAGTCAAGTAGTTGGAAGATTCCATAACATTGTGTGGACTACATAGACCAGACAGCTGGAAGATTCCCTAATCTTGGGTGGCCTGCATATTAAGCAATCAGATAGAAGGAAGATATCTCTAATAGTATGTGGACTACACTTAAATCAGGCAATAGGTAGATTAATCCACGAGTAAAAAAAAAGCAATTCACATTTATATCTTTAACTTCAGGACAAGTAAGTTGGATTTGCTAGTCTATCCCTTTTGGTTTTTTCATTGTTCTTTTTTCTTTGCACTCAAGAAATTAACATGTTATCAAAGAGCCGTGTCCTTAAGCAACACCTCAAGCAATATCCCCATCGATAAGTTTGATGGAAACAACTGCGCGACTTGGAGCCGCTACATGCGTGGCGTGGTCCTTACAAATTCAGTGTAGCATTGGTGAACCGTAAGACGACTCCAAGCTTCACGGAACCACGGCGCAGAAAGACTACGTCACGACCAGCAAGATTGGGTTTGAATTGGTGTTGCTCTTTAGGGATGCGGGCTCCATCATATGGTAGACAGTTGTGAAGAAGCTTGGGTCGCATTGACATGCCTGACAACACTGTTAGGTGGTTCAAAGAAGGCTTGACGCATCTAGCTAAAAAAGGAGTTTTGATTATGAAGATGACAGAAGGCTTCAACGTCTTGCATTGCTGCAATGACGTCGTGAACATCGGCGTTAGTCTCAGCAGCATCGGTGCCAAGATGGAAGATTAAGACATCGCGATCTGCTTTTCGCTCAGTCTCCTGAAGAAATTGTTGAAAACGAGGTTCTGAACTTGTGGATGAGCAATGCAGAGTTGTACTAACTATGCGGTGAAGGTGCTGGCGAATAAGCACACCAAGCGTCAAGGTGAGAATATGACACACCAAGCGTTAAGGTGAGAATGTGGCAACGGCGACGGTGAAAGCTAAAGATGCAACCAAAGCATTTTGTACCGAGCGAGTGCAAGAGAAGCACATGTTGACTATCCGATTTCAGGCACGTGCGGGCGTGGCAGCTGAACAGCTCAATTCTGCTCGGGCGAGTCCATCAGCGCGTCAATTTTCATCGTCCGTGCACGCATATTTGCACCAACCGCCGATGCGAGCATGCTGCTCTCGACAACGCCCAGAACTCTCTCATTTAGTTGCATTGCGCTGCAGAGGCTCCAGCTTCGCCATCGATTGGTCAGGTCGGCAAGGGCCACGAAAACCTTGTCCTTGGTAGCTGATAACCTTTTCAAAGCTGTAGAATCATTGAGCAGCGCGCAAGTCGGCGAGGCGCTACGGGACGGCTAGGTCATTGCGTGACCTGGTGTTACCGGGGTAGTGTCAGCTGCTCGTGCTGTTGGGCTCATAACCTGTTGTCAATATACCGTTTGTAACGGGATTACACGAATTCACCTGCCATACCAATGTGGTGTGGCTGTACCTTGGTTACAAAAGTAGGCTTGATGTGACCGTATCAAAGTACGAAGGGTCGCATCGTGGCAGAGAGCCACGTGGTCACTATACTTATTGAAAGTATTGTGACTATACATGTTTTTATAATAGTAATAACAGGCTATAGAGCCAGTACATAGTGACTAGCACGAAGTATATAGTAGGTGCTTCTATATTTAGTGTTAGAAGACAAAAATGAATATAAATCAGTTTCAAACCTGCTCCATAAGCATCACTGCTTGAGCTTTCTATCACCGGCTCTATAACATCCCCAGTCAAATCATTAACGAGTGTATATAGCTGTTCAGCTATCACCGTCACTCACGATATTATCATTGCTACTCATGATGCTCTCAGCATCCGACGCATCAGCGTCCACAGGTGTGTAAACCTCAAGGTCAAAGACCACTTCGTTTTCTGACTGCACCCCACCCTCTTGGGTCAATGCCTTATCACTAGGTGTTCGCACCTCGTTGTCCTCAAGTATTACATCCATTGATGACTTCACCCGACCCCCCCAGGGTCAGCACTTCGTTATTAGGTGCATGCATCTTGTTGTCCTCAAAGACAACATCCATTTGTGACTTCACTCGGGCCTCTAGGGTCAGTTCCTCGTCACTCATGTCACTTGGACTCGTGTCCTGACATCTTGGCTTGCATCCACGAACACCACTCACGGCGTTTCATGATGTAACATCATTCTCATGACACATGTCATATGTGCCATCTAGGAGTTCTCAACCACACTATCGAAAGTCATTGGGCCTCGCCCAGGACTATTGTCCTCGACATTTACAGTGTCTATAAAGTCGGATATTCCGACATCCAACATATTGACCGACTCGGTCCAATATCCGCGCCAAAAGCGCTTTTGCTTCCTAGCAGAGGTGAGTTCATGACTCTCCAGAGCCCCACCAGGAGCAATTTAATAAATCCATGGCTCATGACGTTCTAGCCATGCCATG